AGGCCGCCGCCCACCCGTGGAAGCTCCAACTAAAGCGAGCGCCGACGGAAAGCGCTCAGCGCGTTTGCACGCGTCTGCGCCTTCCCGCGGGCGGATTTCTCAGCCCCCTCCCCGTCCTGCCCCCACTGTCCCGGGATCTTTGGCAGTCGGGGAGAGATTTTGCCCCAGCACCTCTGGAGGGCGCCCAGTGGGGAAGGTGGTGCGGGCGGGCGGACTGTACCCGTGTACTAAATGATGTGGAGAATCTTTGCAAATAAAAGCAGCGTTTTCTGACCGCTTTGCCGTTAGACCCGGATTCACGCACGGTGCCAGCGTGGTTTAATTTTGGCTTAACGTGAACCAAGCCAATTGTGGTTTATTCAACAGGCCGAGTCGAGGGAAATCATAACTTAGGATAATGGGTGTCTCTGTTCTCCCTGGGTGTTTCTCTGCTTTGGAAAAATCTGTCCATTTCACAGTGAGAAGCTACCCGGGGAGATTATTATTATTATTACTTTTTTCCTGTAGGTAAACAAATGGCAATCCGTTTCATGAAAAAGAGTTCACATCTCCCGTTTTATCGTAGGTAACTTGTGAAGATTGCAACAAGCAGCCTGTTTCATTTTTACAAAGGCTCCTATGAAATGGCCAGGGACCTCTATCCACTTGCTGGCTTCTGAGAGCAGAGACACAGCCAGATCAAGGTCTTACCTAAGGGAAGTGATCATTCTTGGTTGCGCCTCGTATTACTTGACATTAAGCATCATTCTGCTAGAGAAAGTGGAATATACTTGACGGTTCCAACCATCTGTTTATTTATGACGTGTCCTGCAGCCTCAGGGCTGTAAGATTCCAGCAAGCCCACTTTGGCCCAGAAATTGTTGCTGCTTCCATCACCTCTCTTTGATTGTTGTCTGGGAGGGTCTTGAGCTGGGGAATTCTCAGACTCTATAACCCTGGCCCAGCCTCAACCTTGTATGAAGCTTGTATGAGGTGGAAGGACATGATCTTTTTGTGAAATGGATTGGAAGTTACTGACATAGCAAGTGAAACCATCTATCCAAACTTGGCTAATCTCAAACTAAGTTAGACATAGACCTGGTTGATACTTGGATGGGAGACCATCAGGAAACCCCCATCACATACCACTTTTGCACTGTTGCCAAGAAAAATGGTCCAGGCATGCAAGTGTGGTTACCAGGCATTTAGCTTGATGCACGGAAGTCTTCACCTTGCCACCAGTTACTGTACAAAAAAGTATGAAATTGCTTTTAGCATCATGGCTGCCTAGTCAATGATTTCATAAACTGTAAAACTGCAACCCTGCAAGAGAGCCCCATGCAGAGAAGCAGGATTGCCCTTGTGTCCTGAGGTTTATCTGCCTTGTAAAGGTCAGAACTGATTTGACTTGCTATTTGATGTAGAGAGGGACAGATACACTTCTCCACTGCTGACTGGATGAAACACTTTTTTTTTCCCCTTATCGTATACTCACAAGGCTGTAAAGCTAACCAGGGGCGTATTTTGCTGAGCATGGTAATAACCTGCTCTCCTAAGGATCAATAATTCACTTTGCCCTCAGTTGATATCAGCATTCCTGTAGTTCTTGGTATTGTGACCCTGCTGCAAGCTCTGTTGTACCCATTTTATTCATGTCATGCTTTACATCTTGGGTTTGATCTCCAATTTTAGGGTGCACTTAATACCACCCTTCAAATATCACTCAGATGTTCTTTTGCAAGATCACTCTGCATTATCATCTCCCCATGTGATTTTTAGCTTCAACTTGGTCCCACCAGAATGGGAGCTTCATTTTTGTTTCTTAAGAATTAAATCAAAAAGTATGCTAAAAGAAAGCTTTTGCCATGAGTACTGGATAATAAGTGACTGTTGTGCACAAGACTTCTCAAATCTGTGGCATGTTAGATTCCATGAGCAACAACGGGCTGTAGTCACATCTTGACAGGCATACCTGAGCAAAATCACCCAAACATTGCATGTTAGCCTTCAAGCCATACAGTACATTTACCTATTATACTAAGCAAAGCTTTGTTTTCATAATGCTTGATTGAATAAGCCCTGGAAGAAAGTTAGTAATGCAGGTAAGTAAAATAATGGTTTGCTCCCCCACCCCCCGGCCATTCTTGCCTTACATATCTGTAAATTGACAAAGGGCAAATCAGGAATAAACTAGGAAATTTATAAACAAACGATATTCCCATTTACTTATCACACTAGGCCAAAGTTGCCATCAGGAAGTAAGAAAATGGTGGCTTCCTGCTCCAAAACAAACCATGTTTTTTTCAGCATCCTGGCACACATCACGCTAAGTAAAAAGCGCAGAGTGCATTGGCTAAGCACAATATAGGACTGCAGTGCACCAAATGTCAGTAATGTTCGGAGACTAGATATAGCAGAGTCAGGTGTAGCGAGGCATATGTCCTTTGTGATTCCCTAACCATGTCTCAAAATGAGACTAGGAATATGGCTTCCCTATTAGATGAAGAGAGGGGAGGAATGCTGGAGAACAGGTTCCCTTTCTTGCTGAAAATGTGGGAAGTTAAATTCAGTTTATTCCAACATTTAAATATTACAATCACTGCCAATGGGTTCAGGTAGCTTGTCAATTTATCTTATAAATTTATTTATAATTTTTTGTATTATACTTTTAATTTATATTATATATTATTTGTATTATTTATATATGTTACTTAAATTATTTAGATTATAATTTTTATTTATCTTATGAAGTTGTAGAGATGACTTTACTTCTCTCTTCAGATATAGATATGCAGAGGAAGGCATGGTAAAGCAGTACTATAACTAGATCTGTACATTATACTAAGGCAGTTTGAGCCATCGTGATTTAATAAACCACAATGACAGGATTCATCCATATGCTGAACCAAAAAAAATAAATTTACATATCACATTGGGTATCTTCACACACATCAAGCCATTATCATACACGCCATATTATAATTTGGCATGATGTGTAAACCCTGTCTGCTCTTTGGGCAGTGGTCATCTGCATTAAATGGATAGAAATAAAATTGGCACAAATTGACAAAATGATAGCTGTTCTGAACTAAGTTGGGAATGAAGATAGGTCACTCAAAGTGGCTGTCATAGGAGAGACGCATTAGGCTACGGTAGCCAAAAATCAGTAGTGAGCTATAGTTCATGGTATAAAGTCTATTAGTCTGAAAAGGTGCTACCAAATGCCTTCTGACCAAACAGCTAACCCCTCTGAAATCATCGGAAGGTGTACATCTCTACATTGTGCAGTCTGATTACAATCAATAGACAAACTCAAAGTATGCAGTTTGAAGAAGGCTTACCATGTCAACAGTTCTGACAGCAAAGAAATAAGGTTTCTTTTCCCATCCAGCAACAGAAAGCAGTGCCAGTTCAAGCTCCCTCCTGTACACTTTGTAGCT